GATAAATGAGGATAAGTTCTCTAATATTCACAGTTGATTTGATTGGGAGATTGCTGGGTTACTATCATTATATGTTCACTTAGATAGGACTGAAGAGCCTATGAGGTTCGCTTGTTGTATTTTTCTGGTTTTCTAGTTCATGTGGAAGTGGAGGAAGAAATTGTTTTCTTATAAGTAGTGATGTTTTTGTTTGGAATTTGTGTATAGAATATAGCACAGATAGTTCCCGAAGTTTGAATTTGTTGAGAATTAAATTCCAAACCTTTCATTTTGAGCTTTAATTTACTTTCTTCTCCAGCTGTAGAACGAATATTCCATTAGGAGCTTGTTTGGCTCAGTTACAGTTGTTGTAAAAGGTGTTGCTGAGATAGAGTTTTTCAAAAAGCACAACATAATGAATTTTATTCGAAATAGTTGATATATGTTTTGTAAATACAGAATTTTTATTTAAATACATCCATCAGCTTTCTATTGTAGCAGTTTTTAAAAGTACCATTGGAGCTTCGGTTTTTGGTCTGTATAAACTTCTTTCTTTTTTTTGATAATTTTAGAAACTTATTTTTAGTACTGAAGCTAACACTGTTTCTTCCAGACCTTTTTTTGGTCCAGCTTTAGCTTTCTAGACTGGTAAAGCTGTCCAGAAGATGGGCCATACAAACATTATACATTATTAGTGCAGGATGATGAGCTTTAGTTATAGGTCATTTCCTTGTAAGCCTTTGATGCTGTTTGACTTGCTGTGAAATCTGTAAGTCATTGTGATCTGTGTTTTACCATTAGCTGATCGAAAGTCTCTACGTGGTTCCTTTCAGAGTCCTTTTGGTGCAAGATTTCCTTTTCTACATTCTTGGAGAGTTTTATCTGATCATGTTATGGTATCTGCAAACCCGAAGGATAAATGATTAAATAAAAAATCATACTCCATCCTTCCCATATATATTATCCTGCTTTGACCTTTTTTGGTAAAAAATTTTCAGTTTGACCTAAATTATATTAAATATTCTAAAATATTAATTTTTAATAAATATACATTTGAAAACTAATTTATTCAAAGTTTTTAACGTATATTTTTTTAAATTTTAATAAATGATAAATTATAAATAAAATGCAGTCAAAGTTGAAAAAAATTGACCAAAAAGAGTCAAATGATGACATTATATATGGGATGCAGGTAGTTTATAATTAGCGGATTATTTTATAGGAGAATATTATTCCAAAAGGAAATTATGTTTTGAAGTTTTGAAAGAGTTTCTTAAAATTGTTTGTTCATGGAGATTTCAACTATTGTCATAGGGCTTGCGGTAGCCCTACAGTCCTTTTCTATAGTTCACGAAAGGACCAGTTCAAGGTTGTATACGAGAGAGCCAAGACCATCAAGTATGGGAAGTAGCGACCCATTATATGATTGCTACTGCTCTGAGTGCAAGTTGAAGGTTATGGGATTTTTCTTGATTATAGACTTTTTTGGTTCTTTTAAGAGCCCTACTTGTGTGGGTTTGTAGAAACAAACTGTTAATATATATAAATAGCATTTATTATTTGAGAGAATTTGCTCTCTGTATAATCTCTCTGCTCTTGGTGTTATTCCCTTTTGGAAATTTATGAAATTTATAATTAGTAGGCAACATTGAAAACGTTTAAGGCATTTATTCAACTTATGCTTTGAAGCAAAAATAAAAACTTGGATGTGATGCTTAATTTTTTACCCATTTTGATTGTTAATTAGTTATAATCTTGTGGTGTATATCACAATAAAGAAGTTCTTAGATGCATATTGATGTTATCGAGGATATGAAGAGGGAAGCAGTTTACAAGTGTTGAATTGGTAAAATAATAATTCTAAGTTTTCCTATTACCACATATTTACGACAGGGTTCTACTCTAAATCCTCACCCTTGTGCTAGTCATGTATAAATTACCAGCATATTCAAATTTAAGATTGTATCTCTTGTGCATGCTATTTGCAGATGATATTATTTTAGAAAATGACAATTAAGATCGAGGTTAATTTAAAGTTAGAACTTTGAAGAGGACTTTAGGATGCATGGGTATAGGTTAACTAGGACCAAGACTGAATACATGGGGTGCATTTTTTGGACAAATATAGAGAATGGCAACATTAAAATTCATGTGATTCAAAATAGTGTCTACAACTGTTTTTATCTGTTCAAGGACACTATTGACTTCCCTGTACCTAAGGGTTTTGAAGTTTTGTCCTGAAGGGTGTAGACATGCTTTTCATGAGGCAACAGTTTTTGCTTCCTCCATATGGAGAACACCAGAGATGCTGATGGTTACTTTTGTTTGTCGTATAAAGTGGAGGGAGCCAGCATGATTCAGTTGCAACATTATTGAGTTGTAAAGAAGTGATGATATCTCTAAATCAACAATTGAGTTACCCTGCCTTTGCTTATGTTTTAGGGTGAGGGTGTGAGAGGTGGGTTGTGACTGAGCCTCTGAGAAGTGATTGGGTAGCCCGGGGACTTTTTAGTGAACGTGTTAAAAATGTAAAGCATGTTGTCTTACCAGAAGTTTGTTACTGTTTGTCATTATGTTATATGGAAATGTGATAGCACATCCAATGTTCTTTATTTTATGATTTGCTTTCTCCACTCCCGATAGATCATGCCATGAATTTCATTCAGTATTTTATTCCTCTTCTATTTACATTTTGCAGAAGTTTATACTTGGTGGGAGGCTGATGTTTGGGCCAGATGCTAGGTCTCTGCTTGTTACCTTATTGCTGATCACTGTTCCTGTTATTATCTTTTGTGTATTTGTTGCAAGGCATCTTCGGCATGCATTTTCTCCATATAATGCAGGATATGCAATTCTGGTGGTAGCAATTGTCTTTACTAGCTATGTAAGCGCTCTTCACCATTTTCTTATTATTGCCTGAATTCTTTCTTTAGGGTTTAGAACTCCTGCTGTTGTGATCACCCTGGATGTCTTTGCTGAACTGTTATGTAGGCACTTTAAGAATTGCATGTTATGGATAAGACTGAGTGCCAATTTCTAATTGTTGAAATTTCTCAACAATTATCTGTCATAAATTGTCTGTATGAAATTTTCATAGGCATATATTGGAATTAAATTTCATTCAAAGTAAACAAACTTGTATGTTTCAATTCATAAAGTATATGATTTCTGAATTTTGAAATATTTTTTGGTGGAACATATGGTGGGACCCTTCCATGCAGTTCTCATGGAGGTTTGGCCTACCCAAAACTTAAAAAATAGGTCAAGTATGTAATAGTCCCTTTACTCTACCAAAGTGGTAGATTTAGTTCCTCTACTATAGTTTCTATAAATAGCCCTTGCAATTTCAAGATTTGTTAATCTGAGTCCAATTGTTGACAATATTAACATTACTCTGTTAAGTTGCTGACATGGCATTTGACTAAGATGATGTGGCATTGACTAGGCTAACATGGTGGTTTGAGCAGGCCGACATGGCATTGATCATTTATAAAAACCTTTTTTCCCTCATTTTCTCCCCTCCCTTTCTTTCACTACACCAACAGCTGCTTCCTTTCTCCCTTTAAACATAAAATTGGGCCACTGTCCATATTGTCGCATGCCGGTACTAAAAAAGCTTTTCCTCCTCTTCTCAACCTCCTTTACCCTTTAGTTGGTTTAGTTTTTCTTAAAACCCTTTCTTTTCCCTCTTTTTTTTCTCTTTTTTTTTTCTGAAAAAAAAGAAACCCGTAGATCTAGTCACAGACCATTAGATTTTGTTGCTGCCGACCTTGATTTCTTCTTCCTCATGCTCTCCCCTTCCTTTTAATTGGTTCACCTTCCCTCTTTTCCTTTCTTTTCCTTCCTCTCTTCTTCCCCCTCTTGTCTTCGACCCTATGCCGTCCCAAACTACTACTG